ATCCATTGGTAGGAGTTTAGCTGAACTCTACATTTGTACAACGGTTTTTATTATATTTTTTGTAAAACTAAATAATATATATTTAACTAAAATAATCAAAAAGCAAGAAAAGAGAGATAAATTGATTATGTTATAAATGGAAAAACAAAACAAAATACAAAGCCATGAGTCTCTAACATACAGGTGGATAGTTAACATTGGTATGGTTCGTTGGTTCGTTTGGCCAATTCGGGAATCATCAGGACGGGAAAAAAGCAAGATCATTTAAATATAATTGAAATTTACATTAATAACGAATACATACATATCAATATTTAATTTGTTCGTAAAAAGTGTTTTTTATTTTCTCATCAAAATTTGTTTGATCACAATTTAAATCATTATTATTTATATAAAACCGTATTTCTCAGTGAATAATAATTATTTTTAATCGAATCAGTAAACACCAAAGATCGATTTAAATTTTCATTTATAAATCAGGTATGATTTTTAAATTAAAAATCAAACATAATAATGATTACATAATATATTTCAAACCTTGCTTATAACTAGTTTAAAGTTTATTTTTTTAGGATTTATCAACTTTGACTTACACTTTAAAAACAAAATAGTTTTTTGAAAAGAGAGTGTTTTAGATGGTGAAAAAAAGCTTATATTGGATATTGAACAGATCAAAACAGATCTTTGGTTTAATTTGGTTGACTTCTTGGCAAGGTAATAAACAAAAAACAAATCTGCCAAGTAGGATCTGAATAGATTCATCACCGTTTCTATTATTACATAGTAACTTATATGCCAACATCTATATTTAGGAATAAAATCTATAGTTTGTAGTAGACGTAGTTTTTGAAGCATGGTCTTGTCAAGGAGAAACTCACATCTAAACTAAAGGAGTCGATGGAATATATATTGGACAATATTAGTATCTTTAATCTTAAACCTCTTTTAAATCCAATTATCGGCGATAGGTGTTTTTGACCAGCACTTGGATTCGACTAAAAAAGAGGTATAGTTTCAACATCAAACCTCATATAGCTGTAATATAACATCCCTTTCCAATGAACAATTATTATACTGATTATACAATTGATGGATAGAAATGAGGGAAGAAACACAAAACTGATTAGAAGGTACTGAATGTCCTCAACGTTATTCATATTTCCGTTTTATCAGATAGAGACCAAACGTTCTAGCCAATGTACACTATAAAAATTGAAATAGGATTGAAAACATCTATTTTTCGCTATTTTACATACATAGTTTTTAAGATGTCCGTCTTCATAATTCGCTAATTACGAAAAAGACTGGCTGTTTTTTGTCTGGCGTTTTTTTCTTTCTTTGAGTATTTATCATATTTATATTATGTTTTCATTCTACGACGTTTCACCAATTCATGATTTCCAAAAAAACATTTTAAAATATAAGAGTGTCTAAGAAAAATCAGTTACACGTGCGTAAGGGCGAGTGTAATGGATGGAATTTGATTGCTATTTGACTATGTTCAATCAATGAAACAATAATATATTAAAATATAATGGGTTACATTAAAATATATAGCCAAATATGTTTTTTTTAATTATTTTATTTTATTGAAATTTACAACTGTATTACATGGAAAATACAATAAGTAAATGTGACATTGGTAACATGGCATGTACAACATGAAGAGAAACTACCCATTGGTAGAAGTCAAATTAAAGTTCTATATTAGAAGATCCCGAGGCCATCTTATTTTGAGACGCCTCGGAGGGTTATCAGGGATCGAGGAGGAAGCAAGGTTTGAAACGAGAGGATTCGGATGGTTCTACAGTTTGTTATGGAAGGATAGGTATCTGGATTGGGCCAAATCGGAAACATATGGAACATTAAGGTCTTTATGGATGATTTTATTTATTTTTATTTTATTATGACAAAGTAAGGAGCGTTGAGGATTTTACGAAAGTTTTTGGATTGTAAGGATTGGATACGAGAGGAATTCGATTGTTTAGTGGAGCCCCAAAGCTCATTTCCGTAATTTCAAATAGGTCTTATTATTGTCATATATATGATTCGTTTGTAATTGATTGAAAGGTTAGAGCGTTCGTCTAGTAAGTGTTGAAGTAGTCGGAAACGTCGGGCGGTTTCAAGGCGTTTCAGTCTGGTATGGGGGTAGCCAAATATGAGAAAAAATATATAGAGGTTATCACATTTTATGAGATAAACAGTAATGGAGAAAAAGAGGACTGAAGACGAAGTCGATTGAGGATGACTTCATGAGCAAAGAAATTCAAAATGTAAAAATAAAATAAATAAAAAAAACCTTCAAATAATGTAGATATAGGTTATGAAAATCGTAAACTTACATCAAATATAGGTTGATATAATGAAGGAAAAGTAGAAGAAACAGATATCAAGTAATGCATCCTCAATGGTCTAGAATTAGGGGACAAGTTGTGTTGAAGCGGATAACACTACGCTCTCTGAACGGAAAATAATTAATTCCATCATCCCAATTATGCTACAGACCCCACCTTTTGGCTATTTTACTTCTAAAGAATTGTTAGAATATCTAAAAATACCAAGTTTTATCAAAGCTAATCGAGTCATCCGAAATGCTGCTTATTCCATGCTCCAACAGTACCTTGGATTGATTGAGGTAATAAGAACCAAGTTTCATCTTACAGGTTTACATATCATTCATTCTAAATTTTGAGAGAATTTTTAACGGGTTTACTCACAATCGTTTTCTACGCGAATATTTTAAAATATACTTATGCATGTCGGATATATACATATACATATTCATAGACTTGTTCTGATTATAATTTCTACTCACGATAATATGGCTACTGTTTGCTTAAACCTCATGGACGGGGTTGAGGTTAGAATGCATGTACCAAGGCGATTTCAAAATATTTCTTTATTCAACGTCAATAAATCTTCATCTTCATAAAGATTAAAAAGTTACAATATCTATATAGTCACAAAGGAGTCATAATTCTGTATGAAGGTCTATAAACGCTTCTTTGTATGATAAAGCAATTTTGTTTGTTGAAGCTGTCAGTAAATTATCTCGTCATCACAAGGTTTAATTAATGAACTAGGCTAATTTGTTCGTTCAGAATGATAAAAAAAAGGAATTTAAATTTAAAATTATATCATTTTTTTTTTTGTAAAAAATAATTTTATTTGATATTTATTTAAACTATACCTTGTGCATATGGCAAATTTTAATTTACATTAACATTTATTGAATATTAATTTGTACAGTCTTCGGCAATTAAGCCTATACACTAAATATAGTTTGCATTAGTTATATTATATAGTAAAAATTGGGTTGCTTCTATGTTGACTTTATAACTAACTTGTAGAAAACCCGGGATTATTCCATTGTATATATAATATTTCCAATCGTCCAGAAGCCTAAACCTCACCTCATTGATCACACCAATACTTTTACAATTACTGCTTCTGACTTAGGCTTACAGAATGTTAAAACTTATAATTCATATGGCTTGTACGTCCAAATGTTGTATTAAGATTCAACGGAGTAAAATGTGAGAAAACTTTCACCGCTACATTATAATCAAAAGTGGGTTGGGGATATTCTTAACGCCAGTGCGTTGGTGTCAATTTCAACTAAACATTAATTGTGCAAGCCAGATTAAATGAGTTATATGTTTGATCGCTCAACACCAAAGGAACGTTGAGTTGTTTAAATTAGACAAGAGTCCTTATTGAACATTTGAGGATAACATAAATGAATTTGTGTACTTCTAACATTTTTTCCTACTCTTATATATTCGTTCATATACTTTTATGCGTACCGGTAATAAAAACAACATTGCGCTATCATTCTTGTATTTTTTTTTAATTAGTTCTAAATAAATTTAAATCCATGTTTACTTAAAATAAAAAAATTAAATCCACTTTACTTCTTCAGTCAAATTGTTTCACTTCAACATTGTATTTATACTATAGCAACATGGACTATTTAAATTTGTCACAACAGAGTTCTCCTAAAACTATAAACCGAAAAAACTATATTTAAAAAAATGCATTTAACATATTTTAACAGAAATAATTCTTTTTTAATTTCGATGATTTTTTTTTCCTTTTGTAAGAAATTCAGGAAGCTTTCAAATCCTCATAGGTTTTATGATCTAAAAATCGTCAACTTTTTTATTTATTCGTGAATAAAGTTCTGAATCCATCGTTAATTTTTTATCATCATATTTTCGGAGAAGGCTGTTGTACATATAAATTAAAGGGCCGTCAAGGAGAATACTTTAACCTAGTCCTATTAAATTCGTTAGAGCCGTGTTGGCGCTATAGTCTTTAACGAATCACGTTTTTCGGCCGCCACTTTGAAATGAAAGGCCGGATGGTAATGAAATGTATATAAAAACACACCTGGATTTGATTGCAACGTTGTATCAAAATTTCAAAACGATTGATAAAGAACTTTCGGAGATAAGCGGTTTCGAAAAATTTATATTTTTCTTTATAAACACTGTTTCTGTAATGTGTTTATTGAACAATAAAGACTAAAATTCGTCAATAGCTACTGAATACAAAATTAAATCAGTTGAGAAATAAGAACTTGTTGAGAAAGTGTTTTGCCTTTGCCTATTTATATAATGATTTTGTGAAAAATATTGGATTATTTTCTGTACCCTTGTTGAAGAAAGTGTCAGTTCTTCGATCAACTTATGGTATCTATTAATTGTAACTATTGCATGCAATAGTTTTATTTTAGAATGTCTTTATTTTGTACATTCGTGTTTCCTCATTATGGAAAGCTAGTAATGTATATTTCATTGTGCTTATTAAATATAACCAACATGACCAAGGGAGAATAAATTAAACAACTCATTCATGTTCATATAAGATTTCGACATTAACAATCACGTAAAATGATATATAAGTTAAAATACCTTACTATTTACTTACTTCCCCAGTAATGAGGAAATTCAGATCATTTAAATAAAAGTAGCCAGGATATATTAGATATGACTCACAGAAAGGAAACCAGCAGCTAAGCATGAATTGGCAGTTGGAAATCCTTTACCCGTGTTACACATGTCCACATGTTTGCACACTGAAACAATTTTAAGTGTATATTAAAATTAAATAAAAAGTATTTCTATAATTTTATAATGGTCTTAATCTAAGTTAGTTTCAAAGAAACATTTAATCTCTCCAATTTTTCCTAGTATAATGTTTTGGGCTATTTCATCCATTACAAGTTTAAATTTGTCCAAACTTTTACCTATCTTGATTTCTTTATCCTTACAAATTTGTTTTGGCAAAAAATGGTATTACAAATTTATAAATAACCCTGCACACAACTACTTATCCAAATATCACTAAGTTTCATGAAAAAAAAAATACCATAGGTTTTAATTAAATGGTAACTTATTATCTGTGTATTACTAATGTACACAATTAGCTACATACTCCTCACACGATCCACGTACTGCTTCCACAAAGGAAACCTCCACACCCTGTCACCAGTCATTGACCCAGCCTTCTTCATTTCGTCCCAGACTATTTGAGAGGACGAAAAGACCGGTGTGGCGCCCGAACCAAGCGACCATTTGCCTCCCGCTGTAATAAAATCAATAAATAATAAGTTTATCTACAATCTATACCTATAAAATCGGACAAAAAGGAGAAAGTTAAATTTATTTATAAACAGGATATTCTTCAATAACGATTAGCAAGAAGCCGTTATATCAAAATGAAACATTTCTCAGTGATTTTGGAATTTTGATTTGGAAAAGATAATATGATTGAAATAAAGTTGCTCTTTTTAGGTTTAAAAGAGCTATAAGAGAACAAATTATACAGAAAAATAATATATATATATATATATATATATATATATATATATATATACAATAAATGAGAATAAAATAACATAAAAATAAATGAATAAAAAGAACACAAACATACCTATATACACTATAATATACATCTAAATAAAGAATATAATTTATGTACGTAATGTAATATTTTGTGGAGTTTTATTTAAGTTAGTTTTTATTCAAGTAAAATGTGTTTTGTACGTCTGTGCTCACGGGCGGATACGCGGGGGAGGGGGGGGGGAGGGCTTTCGGGCTGAAGCCCTCCCCCAAAATGGTAAAATATAACCATGTTTTATTGAGAAAAATATAAAAAAAGTATCTCTTAAAGTATTATTGTTCGTGTAATTATATTAAAAGGGCTTTAGGAATCATTTAAACACCATTTCATACAGGTAGTTAGTTTTTTTCTAAAGTAATTATCGTTATTTTCATGAAAAAAATACTTTCGTGCTGAAGCCCCCCCCAAAATTAAAATGGATCCGCTAGTGTCTGTGCTTGTATCTTCTTAAGCTTTGCTTATTGTAATGGCCTATTGTCTTTAAGGGGTTTACAGAAGTGTTTGAGGAGTTGGACAATTTTTCGGTTTGGGAGTATATGAATTGTTAAACTGTCTGAAATTCCAAGTCTTTTAAGATGTTGGTTATTCTTGTGTATCTGGGATAATCCTTTATGATTATCATACAGATTTTGTATCCTTTCTCATTTTTATAGTTTGCGCCACATGTGTAACTGCTTATAACCGATTTATATAAAATAATTTTGTTTTTGTTGAAAGAGAAGATTTTCTTCGAAAGCAGGAAGCCATTGTACTGATGGGTTTTTAGCTTTACCGCATTTGTTGTTGATGTTAGATGTGAATATTAATTTTTTATCTAATTGCAGTACAAGTTAGATAACGGATTGAGCCCGGGGGATTCTAGTTTCGTTGAGGATAATATGATTCGCTATGGTAGGACTTCGTTTGGTGAACATTATTGAACTTACTTGATTCATGCACCGAGACCATCAATTCCTAATTTACTATTGCGTTCTCTATACACTTACATTCCAAATAAAAATTCCACACAAGTTCATTTCGCAAACTTGTTTAGTGAAAGGTATATATATCCACCCGTTTGCTATCTTACAACAGGAGTGTCAACAAAAATTAAATTGAGCAGTAATTGTTACTTTTTGTGTCAAATAGAGTCTCCTAAAACTGTCTCAAAAAGTGACACAGGAATCTCTCTCGACATCGTTGACGCATATTTTCAGGAAAATGCAACTCATGTATTCAATTCAAACTTTTGAAGAATGCTGCAGAAACTGAAGAATTAACATGAAGCTCATCGAATTTATGTTTGATTACTGTGCAGAAGTCTAAAAAGAAGAGTGACCTGAGAGTTGTTAAAAACTACTGTCATTAAGCGCCACAATACATAAATTACCTCCAGCGAAATTTACAATACATTTAGAATAAAATCAGCATCTTATCTTATATTTAAGGAGTAATAAGTATAATTATTTCTATAGACAACGGTATTAATAATATACAATAATAACTAATAATAAGTTAACAATGTTAATAACTTACGTGCTAGGTTGCCAATGGTGACATCCAAACAGGGCTGGAAGTGCTCCGAGTATGCAAGAGCGTCGGCTAGGGCGAGACGCCCTTCGTTGTCAGTGTCTTCAACAACTATCGTCTTGCCCTTGAGGGTTAGTACAACATCGCCTGGTTTTAGAGCAGATCCACTCGGCATATTTTCGAATAGTGGTATTAAGCCTAGTATCAACAGATTTATATATCAGATATCACCACAACAGATAAGCGGTCTAACATAGGTCTGTAAGTTACAGTAATTTTTGTGAATTGTAAAAATAGTACTAAAAGTCCCAAATAATTGAAATGAAGTGAAAATAATTTTATTTTTCAGGAACTGTTGACTTATTAGAACAAATTATAAAAACAGAATTAATTAGACATGCCAGTGTGGCCATAAATTAAATATTTGCATAATCATAGGTAACTAAAAATCAAACTGCACAGAGGAAAAAACAAAACAAATATATATATATATACACAAAACTTAGAAAAATAAGTAAACGAAATAGTTCCTGAGTGTACTTCGGGAGTTCTCTGACGCACATTTCGTGACCAGACGGATTGAGAATGAAATAAAGAGAAGATATTTGAATGGAAAAACTTATTATGCGTGATATGGTTATCGGGTGGGATAAAATTTCAGAAGGAGACGGCTTGAATTACAAAGGATTTACAAAGCACAAACGCAACAGTTCGGTGACAAGGAAGATAGAGGTCGGACGTACGGGATCTAGAGAGACGGAATTGAATGAAGGATTTAATTGTAGGTTCAGAACATTATATAAAAGTCTTTGAGTTCTAATAGCCTGGTATAGAAAGATAGCAAGTAAGTATTGAAGGCACCAGGGTGGATAGAATTACTTTAACTCAATGTAATACTGGATAATATGCGTACCTCTTCAGATTCTAAAAACAAAACGTATTGAGCAGTCCATTAGGCGTTTAAGTTTAGCTTTGAGTTTTCCCGAGAGTCCGCCATACACCGTACAGCTGCAGTTAAAATGAACATATCAGTATAAATAGAAAATACGACGGTAAATTTTGGAGATGTGCAGTTTCCATAAAATGTTTGATCAAAAGTAAAATCAAGGTTTAGAACGGAATTATGGAATGAGATAGGTGAGTTGTTCAGGAGAAAATTGAGTGGACAGGAATAGATTTGAGGAGTAAGCTAGTACTGCTAGGAGTAAGCTGGAACTGCTAGGTCCGATTAGGAGGGCTTTCGTCATTTCGGCATTTATAGTGAACCTATTGAGGTTTGCCCAAGTATATTTTCTGTTGATATCTTCCTGGATTTTCAGGACCAGAGTAATTTGCCGGATTGAAGGAAATATAAATTTGGACGTGGTCGGCGTACAGATGGTATTGGCAGTGCAGTATAGAAGTCATTGATATAGATGGAAAAAATAATTGGTGATAAGGTGATAGATAACCCTGTGGAAAACGTCTGAACAATAGAGAGGATTTTTAGGAACTTCAAAATACTAGGAGCGACTGCTAAGGTCTAACAGATTGGTCACTAGACTCAATAGAAACTCAGAAAGACTATCTACCCTTTTTCTCTGACGGATCTAGAAAATATTGCCTACTGTCCTAACGAGCGCTGGTGTCTATATGGAGAATTTCAATAAAGAATTAATTAATTAAGCATCCCACTAGGCAAATATTCTACCGTATTTTAAGCGAGAGGTATTTGCCATATTATTTGTAATTACATGCCCGGCAATTATTAACTATGAGAGGGTTGGCATCACTACCTATGCGGATTGTCATTCAACATTTCAAGCTCTTGATCTTTCCAAAGATTCCAAGAGGTTTGATAGATGCTATAAGGTCCACCTATCAGGACTCAAAGGACATAGTTAGAATAAATGGAATAGAGTCCGATATCTTTGCCATGAGTAAAGGTGTTAAGCAAGGAGACAGTTTGAGCCCCCTACTGTGCATTATATATATGGACGAAATTTTAAAGATTTGTAAGCGACTAACAGCGCGAACAGTTGTAGGAAAATGGAACATGAGGACGATATTGCGCAAGTAATGGTCTTTGCAGATGACATCGTTCTCATATTAGACTCAAAGGAAAATCTGCAGCAAGCGGTGATCGAGTGGGAGGCTGAATTAGCAAGAAAGGGTATGGCAATTAATGTCGGAAAGAGCAAAGTGATACAGATTGGACGGGATCAGGCGGTTGTTGAAATTTATTGCAAAGGAGAGGTACTCGAAATAGTGGAGGACTTCATATATCTAGGTGCAGTAATAAACAAGAACGGAAGGGTTGACCATGAAATTTCCAACAGTATTAAAAAGGCCAATGATGTGTATTACAGCTTATGCGATACAGTAATTGGGATAAGGGAGGTAGAGAGGAATGTAAAAATGCATATTTTTAAAGCGGTATATCTACCAACCCTTATATATAGGAATGAAAGTTGGGTCCCATTAACCAAACACCTTAGCAGAGTCACTGCTAGTGAGATGAAATATCTTCGAATTGTAGCCGGCAGAACCAGAAGAGACAGGGTCAGGAATGAAAAAACCAGAGACGACCTAGGCACTGTCTCACTAAAGAATTCTATAAAAAAGAGGCAGCTGAGAGTGTTCGGTATGCCGAATGAATGAAGACCGTGACCCACGAAAATTCATGGAGGCGAGACCTGTGGAAAAGAGCTCAAGAGGAAGACCCAGATTGTAGTGGATGGAGTACATCTCCCAGATCGGGCAGAAAAGAGGTATGAGGATAGGGGATATGAGGGCTCTAGCTCGGGACCCAAATGCTTGGGATGCACGGATCGAGGCACCTCCACGCTGAAAGGCACAAAGGAGGTAGAGAAAGATGAAGAAGAAGATCTTTCCAAAGTGACTTCCACTGTATTACTGAAGTGTAAATCGGTATCGAAGAGATTGACCTACACCAACAGAGTGAAACTGGTGTGGATCCCTAGTCATAAGGGAATTAAAGGCAATGAGAAAGCTGGCACCCTCTCAAGAAACTGAGCTATTGGGATTTAAGTTCCATTTTTTCAAAGACCAGAATCTGCAATAGGAATATCAAAGAAACATCAGCGGAATGTTGGACATGGGAAAAAAATGTTAAGGTGTGGAGGGAATGCACTATGCTCAGATGAACCAAAACTTCACTAAAACCCTTCCTGCTCTGGAAATAATACGTAGCTGCTAGGCCTAAATAGAAAATGAATCCGATTAATTATGGGATTAATTACAGGCCATCGCATACTTAAAAGACGTCTATAGATCTGGGGGTTAGTTGACGATGAATTCTGCCGCCTGTGCAGGCAAGCACCGGAAACTGCTCTTCACTTTATAATATGTGTGACAAATATGCATTGTTTAGATGCAGGCTTTTGGATTTAAACAGAATCCTATAACAGGAAGCTTCCGTCAAATGGCCATCTCTATTGAACTTCGTTGGAATAACGAAAAGGTTTGAGATAGAGATGGAGGGGTTTCAATTATCTTAGTTATTATTTTTGGGGTTGGCAAAAAATACCAACAGGCCCACTGGCTGGCTGAGTCTCCTTCGCCAGCACTGATTCCAGGATTAGTACTCACCGATAATATTTATTGATTTACTCATTAAGTGAGTCTCTAGCCTGCTTATAATTCAATGTGATAGATGAGATCGTTATATTGTGACTTGTCGGCATTCCAAAATCATTAGCCACGCATTGGTATTACTCAAATGGAAACGAGCAGGTAATTTATAGATTGAATCGTTAAGAAAAGTATAATAAATGGTTCAACTTCCAATCTTTGCAGCGATCTACTAAACGAAACTATTTATTGCACCTTACAAGTATTTCTTTTGTTTTTATTTCTTACATTTATCTGTTTTGAATTAAATTTAATTATGGGGACCTTGATCCTAAATTTCTTCCCTAAAAAACATTGAAATTCAATGGATTTAAATTTGTGAATCAATATTGGATCCGCTAATGAATGATCATATGCGACATCCTATTCGTATTAAAAAAAAATCCAAGAAGTCAGTTTTGTGTAACTTTATTGATCAAGAAATAATTAATAGACTTTAGGAAACTTTCCATGAAATATTACAGTCAACAATTTTTCATTTATCTCTACAGTTTTACAAAATTTCATACATTAGGTTTTGGAAAAGAACGGATTGTTTTAAACCTTGACACCTAAGCTTTATCATTTCATACTTCGTATATGTTTTTCGATGGAACATATTTTAAGAGAGCTGAGATATAAAATTTGATCAAAGAAATATTAAAGGTTTTTGGTTATCATCTTTAAAAGAACTATAAATCAAAAGCTGGAGAAATTAAAAAAAAAAAAAACTTATTGAGCTTTTTTGTTTTATTTTTACTATTAAAGTAGTATAATTATTGTGAAAATGGATACATTATTGTCGCAGATAATGCGATTTTTGAAGTAGGTCGCAATGCAATAAAGATAAGATAGCTTCTTTAGAGTGAACATAGATAGATAGAAAAAAAAAATATTCTGGGACAAGATCACTTAAGAATAATAATTGTCAAAAAACATATCTAGCCAAGAACTATATCAATAAAAATTAATAAATCTTTAGTGATAATATTTAAAAACACGAAGTAAAAATATTTTGTGAATAAACATAATTGTAATGAAAAAGAAAAAAGACAACGTTCCAAACATTATGAGTTGATTCTTAAATTAAACAAATTATTCACTGAAATCAAAATTTGATTCATAGATTATAGAGAGTATGTTTGGGATCTAAAAAGGAATTGGTAAAGGAGGCCCCTGGAACACTTCAGAGGACAGCTAAGTACGGAAGGAATATAAGTGTTGGTCCGGAATACTAAATTCTTGTATCTGAACGGAAAAGAATGACTGAAACCAAAGAATAGAACTGTTGGAGGATAGAACTTTTAATTTAATATAGAAGATGGAATGGTCTAAAGAATCAAAAGCTTTGGAAAAGTCGAGAAGTATTAATATAGTTAACCTTTTTTTCTTCCATAGGAGAATGGATGTCGTTTGCAGTCAGATCTAAAACTAGATTCAAGAGGATTGAGTAGTTTTGAGTTTTCGAAGAAATTGAAAATTGTGCAATTCTTTCTTTCAGAGATTTGGAAAGGTTGGATAAGAAGAGCAGTAGTCTTTAGGAGAGGTAGGATTGAGGATTTTAAGTTTAGGATTTCTTAAGAGCTCGGAGTGATGCTGTTTTCTAAGTTTCTGAACCGACGACTTTTTTTCTCATTATATATACTTATGTATTTATATATTTAAGTTATAAATATATTTTTTATATTTACTCACCTACGACGTTAATGGGAATACCGAGCCTAGCTAAGGATTTAATTGTTCCTACGACGACGGCGGCGCCATTCATGGCCCCCCTGTAGTCGGCCATGTCGAGGGTGTAAGTCTCCTGCGGAATGCAGGTCTTGAGGCAGATACCTCCAGAGTCGAAGGTGACGCCCTTCCCGATGAGCAACACCGGGCGGTCGGTCTCCGACCCTCCGCAGTAGTTGATCTCCAAGAAGTACGGGGGTTCGCAGGAGCCCTTGGCCATGTTCAAGAAGGCGAACATCCTCTGGTCCTCGATCCACTTCATGTTCCGCACGCTAACGTGAACACCGCAGGGGCACAATATCCGGATTGCCTCCTAGCTCCAGGATCATCACAGTGTATCAAATAGAACAATTTTAGAAGAATGTACACATTATTAACCTAAATAGTAGGCTAAAATAAAATCAAACTTCAAATATTCTAAAAATAACAACGACTTTTTTGAAGCATTTGTTTTTTTGAGTCTTGTTTGTTTTCTTATTACATTTTTTAATAATTCCAATTAAAAATTAAAAACTTCAAATTTCAATTTCCCGCAGTCCAGATGACGTTTCGTGTGATCTGACACAGTATCATATGTATTCATGTATTTCTTATGGTCAGTCCAACTAACAATAAATCATATTTTAGCTAAAATGAAAATAATGCAATAGAACAGACCAAAAAATTAGTTTTTTAAAAAATAATTTCATAAATTATTGATAAGAACTGAAGAATCCAACATGAACTCTTGACAAAAGATTAAAAAATTTGTAAAAAAAAAAAAATCACCACACGATAAACGGAGCGTTCCTGGATCTGATTACTTAGGCGTTCAGAAAACTACAACTGAAAAAAAAACGCTGCAAATTATTACGTAATAGTTTATCGTTTTTTCAAACAGTTTAACATCAGAATTATCACTATTTTTCATGTAAAATTAAGGAAAATAAAAAAAGGGTTCCTAAATTGACTTATATAATTGTCTTTTTTATCATTGATAATTTGCTTTAAAAACTTTCAAAAAATCAAAAACAAAAACAAAAGATATAAGCATTGCAATAGAACATATTTATATGTTTGCCCTATCTTTGGTATCATATAAAAACCATTACTCCAAATTGTCCAATTTCAATGATTTTTTTAGTAAAATTCATAAACTATTAAATAATCATGCAATATTTACAAAAAAGTGTATACTTCTTGAGTTATTCGGAAATGTAATTTTACCTTTTTTATTTTAATATTTTAACTTTTTTTCCGACTTCTTGTCGTTGAAGTACGTTATATAGGCAAATTTAAAGGTCATCGAGGAGAAGACTTTAGCCAAGTTCCATTGAAATTAGTACATTCGCTTAGGCGCTACAGTCAATACAACACAGTTTTTTCGGTCGACATCTTAGAAAGAAAGGGAGGATAGTAATGTCGAGGTAAGAGAGCCATCCACGGGTGACCTCTGACTTTGATTCCAAATTTGAAAGAAATCGTTCCAGAAGTCTCGGAGGAATAAGAAACTCGGAGGGACAAGGAAATTTGTATTCGATTTTGGAATTCTAAGTATTGTGAAATGTAAAACCTCAAATTTTGAGGGGAGGAGGTGTTAAATTTTTGAGTTTTTGGACGATTACAATGGTTCATTATTGAAAATAATAATCCAAAACATCATTCAGAAACTATGCAGTCCTTTTTCAGAAATTACGTCAGTCCAGTTAGGATTGGCGTGCAGCTTGAAGCAATCCACAAGGAAGCCTCTTCAAGACACCAAGTTGTTCTATGAAGCCTAAATGGATATAGATAGAATTAACAAAGATGTTGGAGTGCTGCATGCAGAAGTGGAGATGGCTGGTTCAGGCGGCCAAAGGTCTACAAGCTCGGTAATAAAGATCTTGAAAAATCAATATATTATAGACATTTTATTTCAATATTTAAAAAAAAAATCCATATTTTTGTTCAATATTATTTATTCTGATATATCGATATTGAAATTGGCTGTCGAAAAAAAACGTGTTAATGTGCACATTCGACGATATTGTCCTTGATTGAGAAAGAATAAAATATTTTTCATTATAAGATATATTTATATATATATATATATAATAATCGATACATTTTTTAATTAATTAATTTATTATTATTACTTAAGTGTTTCGACCTTTGCTGTCTTTTACACTGAGAGCTCTGTAGTCTCTTTCAGCGATTTTTAAATTGCTGAACTAAGCCATTGCGGACTCCTAATTTTCAATTCGTATACTTATTATACTGTTATTATGGATGAGTTAAGAATATTTATATAGTGAACTTACCTCAGCGAAAAACTTGGGAGTCATGATATTAGCTGGTATGTCTTCAAGCGTGCGTGCGACGTTTTGCCCATCTGCCATCACACATCCTTTAAACCAGCCTTCTCTATAACACAGTTTTCTCATTCAACTTCACAATCGAGCGTGTTGGAAAATAAACTAGAAACTTTATATTATACTCTAATGGAAAAGTTTTGTGAATATTAATTATGTTAAACGAAAACTACGTTATATTGATCATGAGACTGTCTCATAAAACTGTACAAATAATCAAAAATAATAAATAATAATTAAATACACGGCTGCTTGGTGTATGGAGGGCTATCTGCAAAGCTGGAAATAAGACTGAAGAAACTTATGAATTTCTTCATAAGATTCATCTTTAGGATTTCCAGTTCATCTTTAGGAATTCATTATATACTACTACTTTCCTACGGAGATTTCGTTTGGTGTTATCCTTTTCCAAGTCCTCATAACTGAAAATCTTTTCTACATCCTAAAACGCTTCTATGTGCCAGACTAATGTAAATATTTCTTGAACTTTGTCATTATTGTTAGGGAAATTCACTCAGTTCAGAGTACTTGAACACCCTCGTGCTCGAACCACGCCCTGAAGATGACCCACATGTTTGGGTTGAAACGTTGGCATAAATAAAAAATTAATTTAAAAAAAAAGACTACGTCCTGATTATTTATCACCAATGCTATGTAGAACAGTCGACTAACTTCTTTCAATAATACCGAAATTAATTTATATTTACGATAGCAATAATTTCAAAATTATCTTTACTTTTCTCCCTCAGTGCAATTAGCAAGGAGGTCTATATCAGGATGTGGAATTCTGTTCTCAGGGTCCCTCAGTTCTTGGTAACTCCAATTTGCCAATTTAGATCCTTCTGCCGCAGCTTCTGGGCAGCCCATTGGGTCCATACAGACACACGACACATCCTAGAAAAATAGAAAGGGATGTGGTACATATTTTTTGGATGAAGAGTATAGTCATAGTTGTCTACCTTTATTGTTTCTGATTTCTAATTAAGTTCCTTATTAATTTTATCTCATATTATTATTACAACAAACAAAATTCGTGCTAGTAAGCAATAATAATATAAAATTATTATAATAGCAATACATATAATAAAAATACATGATTTCATAAAATGTGCATAGAAAAAAAGAAACTAAAAAAGTAATAGGTTCATATGATTTCTGACTAAATCTAACTGCCTAGTTACATATACGGACCACATATATATGTATTTATTACCTATTTTAAGTGTTAATTTATATATTATCCGATCCATTAAATTATTATGTAGTTTGAAATGTTAATTAATAAGTATTTCTTTCCACAATATATTAAAATAGTCTATTGAAAATATATATATAATATTAAAATTTCATTACTCTTCAAGATTCCTATCATTTCATATTTCATTACATATAATTACTAAAATTTACTTAATTTAGAATATAATAAAACAAAAGTTACATACTTGGCTTTTTATTCTTTATAAAAATTTTGCCTCTAGTTATATTTTTTTATTTAGCACAGTAATCATGTAGGAAGATATTATGATAAAAATTAATTGCACTAAGAGCATGTAAACATTAGTTATAATGGCTTTAATTGCATATTATGTTCAAAGATATATGCTTTTATTATACAGAATGTTCCATGACTTCAAGGGCAAATGGAAGTTGATATAAGCAAGTGGCTTATTTTCTGTAACCCAGTTATTCTTCAAAGTTTTATAAGCCTATTATTTTTTTTTATTATCATTTTTTATATATTTTCATATAGTTTAGAATTTTCGTTTACATTTACAGTCAGTCTAGTATTTCTTATCTTCCATGGATTCGGAATAACAGCTTCTTTAAAATGTAAAATAACCCCTATTTGCCATTGTACGACTAGGAAATGTTCTTTAATTTAAATTCGGATAACTATGAATGTAATGAATACCAATTTATTGGTCGGATCAAAACATAATACTTGATTATAATATTAGACCGAATCGACAGATTAACAATACCTTAACTGAAAATATATGTAAACTAGTTGGACCGTGTAATTAATTTGTATAGTTTATTTGTCAGTGAAAATTGACAATATAATGCAGAAATAAGTTAATGTAAAGTGTTATGATATATGAGAAATAATTTTCTTTTTCTCAGTTGTATAACATTATTTCATTCATAATACTACAGTAAAATATACTAGAACCTGCCTGCATCTATGGTAACAATGATCCGATTTCGATGAATTTTTTGTAGGGATTTAGTAATCTTTCAAATAATTATTTCTGCAATCAACAACAAAAAAAAATACTTTCCTATACCTCATTCATCAAAATCAATAGCTCCTGAGGGCCGGAAAAGGGTCCACACTGCGAAATAATACTGCAGTAACCGGTTCACTTTTCATTAGAATTGTTTTCTCTGCCGTTTACTAAAACATCTGCAACTACGTTGGAAAGCGGAATTAATTATTATCAACACTATATCACTTTTATCTTAAACGCCTCCAACAGATACAAATACATGAAAACTCCTCTCAAGTTTTTATTTTATATCTCCAGCTTACGGGAGTCTGATTCGTGCTATTTTCGGTAAATTATGTGGCCCTAAATTTGTGTAGATAGGCGGACCATGTTGAAGTTATCACACATTTCTGTGATATTAAAAAAAAAATGAAAGGTTGGAGCCTGATTGAATATTTGAAGGAAAAAGTTTAATATTTCGATGAAAATTCGTATTTGAAGGTTTCGAGGTGCGTAGTACAAATCTCAACTTTTTTCTCCTTAAAAAAATATAAAATATAAAAAATATCCTATCTATGCATTTGGTCTCTTGCCTACTACTCTGACATTCATTGTTGTGTAAAGACATCCTGATGGATTAGGACTATGCAGCTACAGGCCCCGGTCATCTTAATCTCCATGCCTTCATGTCATAAGATATTGACTGACCCGTTTCTTTTAGCAGTTCTTTATTATTCCTTCTCCTCCATGTGTCAAGGTTCTGGTCCTGTATGGTTCCTGTTATCTTACGAAGAACTTTTCTTTCGAATCTCTCAACTCTAAATTCTGCCTTCTAGTGTGCCGGTTAGAGTCCAGGTTTCACAACCATACAGCAGAACTGCCTTAATCACGGCGTTGTACACCCTTATTTTTTGATTTCTTGATTTCAGTACCATTGAAAGGTGGAACAAAGATCCGTTCGCACTTGTTATTCGCTGGTCGATCTCTGCTTTAGTTGATAATTTATTGAGGTTATTGTGGAGCTGAGGTATTTGAATCTGTCTACTTTCGGGAATGACTTACGAGTCCACGCAGATCGTGTTATTGGTTGGCCTCACCTCAAATTTCTTAATATGACAGATGCACGCCTCTGATGGAGACCATTCATATGTATTTATGAACCAAAATCAAATTAATTCGATTTTTTTACTTTCCTACCTATACTAGGTAAGGAGAGTATTGCGATTGGGTCAAATATCCAATATACGGTTTCCGACGGATCTATACGTTTCGGAGTCAGCGGAGTCCGAAAAACACATTTTTAGCCTGTCTGTCTGTCTGTGCCAAGATTTTCTACTACTACTTTATTACTAGTGAACCGATTTTGTTGCTTCTTTTTTTATTTTGTAGAGTTTTGACTACTGATGCCTGTGACACAAATCGGGTGATGACATGTTCAATAGCTGCTGCGCAATAAATGAAAAACATGTTTTTCTATAGACTGTAACCCGAAAACGGCTCCAACGATTTTAATGAAACTTTCCTATAATGTTTTAATAATTGTTCTTTCGATTTTCGTTTATGAACTAAATTTCGGAGAAAATTCAGGAAAAAAACTTATAAAGAAGAGAAAAATGTTTTGGGGCCAAACTCGCTAAGTATATATTCTATGGTAAAATTTATAATAAAACTTTCGAAAGGTAATTAAATTACTAACAAAACAGAAAAACAAATCATCGGAATAGAACCAGTATTAGCGATAATACAGCGTATTCTATTTTCTACATATGTTTTAATTTATTACTTTCCTACCTATACTAGGTAAGAAAAGTATTGTGATCGGGTCAAATTTCCGATATGTGGTCAGCCCCCTGAGTCCGAAAAACACATTTTTAGCCATTGGTCTGTCTGTCTGCAGATTATATATATATATATATATATATATATATATATATATATATATATATATATATATATATATAATAGCTATAGATAAAAATGCTAAACGGTATTATAATTTAAAATACAAAAGATCGAATTAATTTGATTTTGGTTCATAAATATATATGAATGGTCCCTATCAGATATGTGCATCTGTTATATTCAGATATTTGAGGTGAAGCCAACTATTAATTGTCTGAGCTTCAATTTAAACTAATTCTGATCAGTGTATTTTACGATTTATCTTCAACATGTTTCATGATAAGTGTGAGATCAATATAATTTTAAAAGAATCAAATTGATAATTTGGATGATCTTTTTTTGAAACTAAAATTGGAAATTGTCTGTTGTATTTTTTAGCTAAAGTAATTCTAGATATCCATTTTTGATTTCAACGTGGTCATGCATATCCATCTTTCATACAAAAGAATCCTAACTGATGGATTCATAAACTAAGTACCAAACACCTACGGGGTCTTAACTAATATATTTATGTGTAATGTTAAACCAAGGATAAAAAATAAAAATGTAAATGATAAATGTAAAATGTTTATTTAAACAAATGTTTGCTACAAAACAATCGATTAATTATCGACCAGATCCAACTAAGGTAAACGTTGAACAGGTTATTATTAGTTACTTAAACATGTTGTCAACGATAAAACAAGTTGCAAAATTAGTTTGGCAGAAACTTGTGTCTAAGCTGTTGTAATATGTGAATTAACTAGATCCTTCATTAAAAATATAAATTACCAGAATACCTTGAAAATATGTTTTTTTCTGCTCTCAGACCACTGTCCGGCGCTGTCAGTTGTATATGGCAGTCCTGATCGGAGATATATCTTTTAAAAATCTATTACAGACTAATACAATTTATGTAATAAATGTTATTTCAGACGTCTTCCTCTCTTACACGTCATTATTGTACTCTTCCATAGATCGGTCCTTATGAATAACTATTAATAAGTCACTTTTTTAGAATGTGTTTTTCTTAACGCCGGTTACAATTATAATTATGAGTTATATTTTAAAAAGAATAGAAACAAATATATATACTATACTACTATATATACTAAAAATATATGTGATTCTACCTGATTTTGCTGCATTAGAACTCCTTGAGCTGCTGCCCATCTTATGTTCTCGCGATTTTCATAAAGAACCTCGGTTTCGTTGTATCCCGTGTTTTCCAGCCCTAGGCCGGCTATTACCGTGGAGTAGTAATCGCATATTCCATGATACAGCGCCGCCTTTCCAAATTTAATACCTGAGCTTTAAAAGAGCCATCAAATATTAATGGAATATGAGAAACGGTCTGACTGAAAAGTTATAATAATCACAATAAAGGTTAGAAGATGTAATAATATAAGTACAACTATGCAGGCTCCTCAAGCACAAATGGAGAGAATGGAAGGTAACCACTGTTTACTATTCACTAGCGTATTCTTGGGTAACAAGTAATACAACCAGGAGTGGGGGTTTCAAGTTGAGCCATTAAAATTTTTGTGAGGGAAATTTTTTATAGTTTTTTTTAATTTAAATTTTTTAAATTGATGGGGGCAAATTTCTGCAGGATTATGAATTTTCGGACTAATGAAAAAGGGGAAAAACATGGAACATACCGCAGCATGTGTAATTGTGTATGGTCTACGATTTTTCTAACTCTACCGTACTGCTCTGTTTTTAAGAAAAGGTGAGAAATAAAATATCTTGGTTGGAGGGAGGAGGATAGGTTTTGCGCCATCGACCTTGTGGGGAATGGGCACCCCTGAATCCAACAGCCTTATTTAACCAACGATGGTTAACTGTTACATGTTTTAAGTCTTGAAGCTATGTTTTACAAACCTGGTTGTACCAATTTTATGTCAAAAAAGAATTTAGTTTCTTACCAGGATTTTAACTACATTCTTTCAAGCGAAAGTTGCATTGGATCACGGGCGGACCTACGGGGAGGGGGAGGGCTTTTACCATTTTTGAAGCCTCCCTCCAAAAATGGTAAAATATGACCATGTTTTATGGAAAAAAAAATTATCTTTTAAAGTATTATTGTCCGTGTAATTACATTTTTCACTTAAAAAACATTTCATACAGGTATTTAGTTTCTTTCTTTTTTTTCCAAAGTGATTATCGTTATTTTTATGAAAAAGAGCTTTCGGGCTGAAGCCATCCCCCCCCCAAAAAATTAAATCCTGGATCCGCTAATGGATTAGATTGTATAAAAATAATACCGGTTTGTTAGAAAATATAACTTACTTATAGTAAAAGCGAATAAAAAAGTAACGTAGAAACAAATAATAAACACTTTAAACTACTCTTTTCTGATTTCTGGTTATGGATCCTCTGAATAGGAATAGTAACACTGCGCAGTATTGGTTACATGTTAAACACAGGCTTTTATCATTAGAGTGGCCGTTTATCATTTATTATTTATTTAATTAAATATTGATTCTTGTTGTGATTAATTTATAAAGTATATTTTCACTAAGTAAATTCAAGTAAATTATTTTAAAATACGGATTCACCGAAGAGCCTCTATATGACCGGTTCCTTGGTGTTCAAAGAAACTTAACTGTTCGACACTTCTGGACTCTGGAGGAGGCAAACAAGTAATAACAAGCGATTGATGAATATAAAAAATTTCAAAAAAAAAAAAAAAATGTCTTTATCTAATAGATGGAATGAGAAGTATTTCAATTTTCAGTTCTTTAATTTGAATTTGTATGAAGAGCCAAGTAATTCTACATACGTATATTCTTCTGCTTACTCCTCTTTCCCTCAATTCGCTTACCTCTGATATCCCTGAGTAACCTAACTACACCTTCTTCATTGACGATACAATAGTATCTTTCTATAAAAATCTAACTTTAACATCTATTGCCCCTCAGAAGTATTTATTTAGCATTCAAACGTAGTTATAAATATTAAAAATTAAAATTAACGCTACTAAATCCAGCCAGGTAAGTTTCTCCGTAAAAAAGCTTTATTTCCACCTATCACCATAGACAACAAACACTACCATACACTACCTACAAAAACTCGGACTTAACATAGACAAAATCTTATTTAGAACACACATATGAAATTAATAAGACAAAAACTTGCTAGAGCATATAACCAAATATCACATCTCTTGGACTACAGATCCTCACTTATAACATAGGAAATAAGGGCCTAATCTACAACATGACACTATACTGACAAAGATTTGTATATACCGAGTTTTACGGTCAGCAAAACAAATACACCTTAACAATATAGAAACTACACAATCGAAAATTCCACGAAAAATAAACCATGAAATATTTCAAATACACTATACATAATGACTTAAACATTTCAACTGTAAAATTTTATATACACGACAAATACGTTTCATTCTTTAACACGAGCAGATCCAGAATTTAATTTTTTTTTTTGGGGGGGGGGAGCTACAGCCCGAAACATTTTTTTTTTCATATACATATAACGATAACTAATTTGAAAACAAAATGAAAGAAATAAACTAACTATATGAAATGGCGTTTAGGTGGTTCTTGAAGTATTTAATATCTTTTTCTGTAAAACATGGTTACTATTTTACCATTGTTGGGGCTTCAGTCCTCCCCCCGTAGATCCGCCTGTACTCTTTAACTCAATTCACTCATTCTATCAATTTATTCAACCAAGTTATCTTGCTCGACACAGATTAACAAGAAACTGAGACCTGCTCCTTCATCAATAATTATATTGCGGTTATTATTAAATTCGCAGAATATAATCTATTGCATCAAGTTAGATTCCCTTCTGTGCAGCTGAATAATAAATACAGTGCAGGAAAATAATAAATAAATACATAAAGTAAAATAAAAATATACGGGCAAATCGCTGATTTTTATTTTTATATATTTAATTAAATAAATGAAATATAAAAGAACAACTGAACATTTGTGTCAAAATTTTATTTAAGCCTCATCATTTAGATATTTTTCATTTTAAAGGCATCAATTTATATGACATATAAATCGGATATATTAAAACATATTTAATATGGACTTTTTCTTTTTGCATTGGCCTTTTCCCTGGCCAGAGGTGAGAGCGGAGGAGTAATGCGTCAGAGTCCAATGTCGTAATTATTTTATTATCATATTATGTTCGGTTAATCGGGTTGTCGGGCAGTAGTTAATCTGCTCGGCTAAACTACCACCAATAACTGATTATAATTTACGTTTAACTTTGTATGCTCTTTATTTTTCCTAATATGAGTATTGCTTATAAAATTTAAATATTTACTGTAAATTTAAACGACAAAATTATATCGGGGAGATTAATTTGGTCCAGAGTTGGAGTTGGCGTTTCTTAGTTTTCATTACTAGAGATCTTCTCAGCGTAACAGCAACAGTTGTGATTATTTTCCAGGCAGTGAAAGCTTCTAGGAACCCTAACAACGCTTTTGATGAGAAAAAACTCCCTCTCAATGGAAACTACTTTCGGTTTTAAGACAGAATGAAAAGGTCGGAAATTACTATCCATCTTAAGAGAGCTTGTTTTTAGTTTTCTAGGGGACAATTGTCCCACAGTTGTTTGTTTTTGTTTTTTTTTTTGTTTTTTTATTCTTCCCTCTTCCTTAGTCAGATAAAAGAAATATTTTAATTATTATATATGAACCTTTCAATTGACAGAATGACTAACTCCAATTTCAACATTTTTTAGTATAGTCATTTTAGTGATATTTCTAGTTGAGAAATTTATAATATCTGTACAGACAATGAGTAAGTAGATTCCAGAGTATGTGCTTGCAGTGTTGAAATATAGAATTGTGAATAAAGGTATAAATTATTCCACTAGAAATATCACCTAAAACTAATTATCAGAAATGTTGAAATTGAAGTCATTCTGTCTCATTTAATGAATATATGATTGATTTTGTACCAAAACCTCTTTTAATCTCAGAACCTTTTATTTTACACTTAAAAGATTTGTATACACATTCAAGAAATACCATTTGACGTTTCTGATCCAAGAGCCATTTTTGAATTCTTTTTTTCAAGTCCCTCAAAATGATCTCTGTGTGTTTGTGTATGTGTCTGTGAATATTCTTGCTCAAAAATGAATTTTTCGAAAATGAATGTGAATGAAATTGAAATGGGATATTTAAGGTTTGTATATGGTCGAGATGTCACAGCAACGTTTTCGTCAAAATCAGCTAACCGGAAGTGGCACTTTATTTCATCGATTTAACACATTTTTACCATTTTATTGAAAATGGTTTGAACGATTTTGATTAAACTCGGTATATCAATGTACTATTTAATGGCCTTTAATATTATCTAGGACTTATTCTCACTGATGTCAGTTAATAAAGCTTAAATGCTTAATTTTCAAAAAAAATTTCCTTCAAAGATAAATACATAACTGTCTCTCATTGTCTAGTAACAATAAAAAAATGCTAAGTACAAAATACGGTAGAGTTTAATTTTTGACTAAAGGAAACAGTTTTGTTTCTTAGATTAAAAATGAGTTTCTGGAAATAACAGCTAAAATGTGTGCCTAAAATGTATAATACAGGGTGTTCCAGGTTTAAATGTTCAAACTGAAAATATGAATGAAGTACCTCAAAACAAGAAAAAAAATTCCTATGAAGGTATGTCGCTTTGTTTATGAAATATTCAAACCCAAAGATTTTTATTGTTATGAATTATCTTCGTTATATTAAGTAATTAAAACTTATTTAATTGTTCCAACTACTTTATCAACTAAACAAAAACATTAAATTCAAATTAAATGTTGTTTAAAGTGATTTCCTTGAGCATTAAGACAGGCGTTCTGCCACACTGGATATGAGTTATTGTTTCACAAGATTCAATTATCCTTATTCGTAAGGAATTATGATCATTGACCGAACTTGCATAGCCTTTTTGTTTAATGTTACCCCAAACAAAAAAATCTAGTTGTATCAGTTCTGGAGAGCGTGCAGGCCAAGCCACTGGTCCTGCACTGCCAATCCATTGATTAGAATAATTAACATTAGTCATTTTCGTGGACCTCTTCTGTAATGTGCAGGATAACCATCTAATTGAAACCACACGTCCCTTTTCTCAGTTGTAGTGGAATATGTTCAATTAAATCATAGTAAACATTATTAATAAATTCCTGAAATGTGCCCGCATTGAGTTGAAGCTGCAAGAAATGAAAACCTATAAAAATATTGTCTATTATCCTCAACCACCCATTGCACTGAAACTGGTGCTGGAAATGATGCTCACGATTTTCATTGGGATTTTCCTGCGACCAGAGATGGTTATTTTTCTGATTGGAGATACCTCTTCTTGTAATGGTAGCTTCATTTGTCCAAAGGAATTTTCCTGAAAGTTGTGGATTATGCTCAACTTGATTTAAGTACCAATCTGAAAAAATTCTTCTTTGCCAAAAATCTTGCGGTAATAAATTTTGTGCCCGTTGATAATGATATGGGTGAAGTCCATCTGCAATGAGAGTTCTCCATACTGTAGTTGGTGTAATATTTAATTCTGTTCCAGCTCTTCTTACATTGCCAGATGGATTATCATCAAAATATTGTAATATGATTTGATGATAATCCAATACTCCTTTCTTCATTTCGTAAAGGGGCAAAATAACCATCAGGAAGTGGTATTATAGCAAATGTACCAGTTTCTTTAAGACATTGAAATGTGGAGCTAAAGATAGACATGTTTGGTAATCTTCTATTCGGAAATCGCCAGGCATATTCACGTCGGGCAGTATTAGCATTACCATTGCAAAAACCATATACAAACACCATATCGCCATATTCACCATTAGTATAAATGGAAGGCATAGTGATGAGTACTACTACAAAAGCCTCTTACAAACTTATAAATGTTATTGAGAGTTCCCAATGCTAATTCCAAATAGTATTAATCCTTAAGTTGCCAATATTTTTTACACAGCTAGGGATAAAAGGCCATATTAGTATTTTATCTAATCCATCTCCTAAACAAAGCGTTTGCGGACATACTTTTACTTTGAACCGCATTTAATATGAATGTTAATGTTTACATTTAATTAATAAAATAGTTATAACAAATAAGTAGGTTTTATTTATTTCATATAATTTATATAATTCATAACAACGAAAATCTTTAGGTATGAATATCTTCCAAACAAAGTGTTTGAGGACATAGCTTCAGAGGAAATTTTTTTCTTGTTTTTAAGTCCTTAGTTAATTTTCGCAGTTTGGCCACTTAACCCTGAAACACCTTGTATATCGTTAGAAAGCTGAGAATTTTAGAGAAAAAAAAACAATATCTAGCATACAAAGTCGTAGAAAAGAAAATTCAGCTTAACGAAAAAAAAAATAATAATGTCTAAAAATCAATATTATTTAATGTAAACAAATTTATTTCACATGGAAACTAAATGAAATGCACTAACTAAATGTTATTTTTTTAGATTATTCTTTGAAGTTTAAAATAAAATAATATATATCCTGCTAATTCGAAGCAATAGAATTATTAAAAAAACATGTTGTTGCAATTGTGTCAAAGAATAAGTAGTGGAATATAAAAATATTATATCGATGAGTAAAATGTATGTTTATAAATCCACTTACTGACGTTTACACGTGGTGCCAACGATATTATCGCATCTAAAAATATTAATAATAAATATTAATATGTAATAGATAGGTTTTGGATGAAAGAGTATTGGAGTAAGAGGAAGGCTGAGGGAGTGAAGAGGAAACGGAAATGATATTCGTCCTTACGTGATCCTTGCTGGCCGGTTCGTGAAAAAAACAAAAAAAAAATAAAATAAGTTTTGTGGGTAAAATAAATATTTTTACTGATGCTCTTATTGATTTTTGGCATTGATAAATGTGGCCGAAATTTACAGATATGTTCTTTAAGGTTTAGCTCCATTAAAAATTGTTATTGTCTTCAAACAATTTTTATAATAGGCCAATTTCGCCAGACAAGAATTTCTGTTCAAAGTAGAGTGGTACATGAAAATTGTGTGGTGCGCGCACCAGATTTGATTTTTTTCTACTTCTCAATTGAGAAACAGTACATCCTGTCTCAATTAAGGACATTTATAATTGAGATCAGAGATCACATTCACAACATATTTACAAAAGCGTAAAGAAATAAAGTAATAACAACATAATACACAGAAATACGAACAAACTAATCCTAGTGGAAAACTTTACTAAAATTCAAGATAGTATTTTATTCCTCTAGCTAAGGATTCCACAACTGAGCCGCGTGTTCATTGCTTAATGATTTATTAGGTTTCGATCATCTCGAAAAATATACTTTGTAACTAATATTAGATAATATCAAGGGAACTAATTTAAGTTTAATTGATACTTAATAACTTTAGACCTAATATAATATATAAGGTTATCATTTTAGTCATTCTGTGATAAAAAACAATTTAATATTCCTTACATAACTAACAGAATAATACGTAATAAAAATCTATTCGATTTGTTTAGAATCTATATAGTGCATGAATTGGCATTACCCATCGTTTATATATTTTATATCTAACCTCATGCTTCGCTATATAACATATTGTAAATGGATTTATGACTATTCATTTTGTTATAATGGCAGTTCTTACTCACTCTTTCAGCAGTTCAGTCAGTTTTCCCTGAATCTGGCCGTTCAGCTTCTCCCCTTCTGGAGTCAATTTGTACTCGCCATCGGTGCATGTTTCGTAAGCTCCTATCACCAGGCCTTTCTATATACGAAAAAAAGTAAATACCATTAGGATATCTAACTAGTTTTTAGTATATTTTATTTATAAAACTTAAGGACTATCATGTTTAACACCATGCTTGCCGATCGATATTTGCTATTGCATTCATTCTCTGTTTCTCTGCTACAGTGCAAAAGCTAACCGAAATGAATTTGGGTTTTACGCAGCTGAATCTAGTCTAACACCTTTAATATTCATTTTGTTGATAGAAACATGTCATTCGTTTACTTACAATAGAATAGAATATGATTTCATTCTGGGGCAAAGTCCCTTTAAAATAATAAAAAAGTCGAAATTGAAATATTATATCTGGCCTAAATAAAAACAAACACGTATAATAAAATAAAAAAAGTAAAAAGTAAAAAAGTGAAAGAGAGATAAGTAAAAAAAAAAAAAAAAACAACATTAATTAAAAATACTATATACAAAATAAAACAAAAAATCTATATACAAAACACTTGCAACTATGCCAAGTCAGTTAAATTTATGTATAGTGGTAAAACATAAATGTACACTTTTAGAATAAAAAAATATATTCTTAAACATTAATATCTTAAATATGTAAATATATTATTAAACATTATATTCTTCTTAAAAATAAACTCTGTGTTTCTGTGAAAAAAAAAAATAGAAAAGCCGAATCTGATAGTAAAAATTGTCTGAGTATTTAAGTGATGCATTATACGTTAATACATCATTACGTGTAAATCATTATGAATAATGTGTAATTTTATATAAAACTCTAGCGAGTATCTGAATGTTTTAGGGATAGGAATTGGAATTGTGGACACTATAAAAAAGTTCCCAAATTTCCTACAAAATGAGAAAAAAAGAAATTCGAAATCGGAGTATCCTTAACATGATTTTTAGTGGAATGAAAATTAATTCTCCACTTCTGTACTTATTTCCATATTATGTAGCAACTTATTCACTGAGCAATATACAAAGCCAATTATTCGAACGGACCAACTAGTTAAAATAAATCTTATAAAATGAAGAAAAAAACGTTATAAACTATTGATGTTACAAGCTAAACATTTCTCCAAAAATAGATTTTTAGAATTTAAACTAAACAGAAATATATATTTTTAAAACACATGTTCGTTAACAATTATTTCAACGGCAGTAGTTGCGTAACCTGCCAATACACTTGATACATTGCCTTCATTACGGAACCTGAAATATAATAAGGGCATTTGCATAGCTCAATGTCTTCGTGAGAACTGTAAATTTATGCCGGTGGGCTGAATTATTTGGATAAAATTCGATGGGAGGACCTCGTCACGAATAACGTATAAAATTTACAGCCCATTTCGCCACCGGCGCCCTAGGGCCCTAACTGTTTTTTAATTCTTGATAAATAAAATGTAATTAATTAAAACATGACGGCCACTGCCTTAGTTGCTGTGTAAAATGCCTATTGATACCATAAGAGGTAAATATTTTTAAATAATATCGGCGTTGCATAATTGGTATAGATCCCTTTTTGTTAAATCATTAACATCCGCCTGAAACTTCGAGAATAGTTTCGTTTCATCGTAACCAACAACTATTTTATTGACGACAAAGTAAATTGTATCCATGCAGCTATCTGCCAAATATAATATTTATTTAAATCCGGTCGGATATCTAGAATAAATATTTTTTTTTTAGAGAGAAACATAAGTTGATATTCGTTTTTTGCACCTCAAAAACCATTAAATACGATTTTGTATAGCAATCAGAAAATTAAAATGTTCTGCTCGATTTTTTTTTTCTAGGCCAGACCCTTTGAAATTTTGACAGTCACAAAACTTGTGATAACTTTAGAACGTCTTCACCGATCTACCTGAAAAATAATAGGTATTTAGGCCTCTATGTGCTACTCGAAATGGTATAAACGCGATCTTTGTTAACAAACTAAAACTAAACATATAAAATAAAAATGAGTTGGAAGTTTTTCTTAATTTCTAACTTGAAAAAAAAAATGAAACCCAAAAGTTATTTGTATCCGTCAGAAGTTCATTAATTGAGCTTTGCAGCAGTTATATTTAAAGTTGAACTTAGGATTTGTGAATGCTTCAGGTGTCGGCCGGTAAAAAAATCATCAAAGAAAATCAAATACTTAAACTTGTATTTTTTAATTTATATAACAATTCGTATTTAAGTGTTTCAAAGGGCCCTAAAAAGGAATCTAATTCGTTTTTCCATAACGAAAATTTATTTGACCTACTTTACTGGAAGCATCTTTTGGTTTTTGTAATGTATGATGCATTATAACTGATTTAATACAATAGTTTATATATTTTTATCATCTGCACAAAAAAACAAGATTGATATATAGTAACCTAAAGGGGACCCTACACGGTAATTCATGAATGAACGTCACTAGAAGTTCCAAGATTGCCCGCGATCGCTTTGATCGTGAAGACCTACACGTTCAATCATTACTGATCATTACTTATCGTTGCTGATACCAATTTAGCTCAGTTGTAAACAAAGAAACAGCATAGATATGCTTATTTGGACATTGTCATTTATAATATTGGGCATCAAGAGAAAAACGGAGATATAATAATTACTTCCTAGTGCCTGAAAATCGTTTAGACCAAAGTTAGAAAAATATATGTCAACTACATACGAAAATCTAGGAAAAGTATTGCGAAAATAATAAATTTGTTAAGAAAAATGGAAAAATTAATGGCAAATAAACACAACATTTAAAGATTTTTTTTCTATAAGTAAATTGTGAAGTTTCCACTTTTTTTTCTCTTCAATTTATTGCCTACTTGACTATTTAGAGAAAAAATAGTTGAAAATGGTTAATAATAATATAGACTAGGGATATAAACAACTATTTAATTAATAACGAGACCTAGGTAAACTAACCTATCTAGTAGTAGTCTCATAGAAGGTTAGTCTCATAGAAAATCGTTTTGACAAAAGTTAGTAAAATGTAAGTCTACTACTTACAAAAATTAAGGAAAGGTATTGCGAAAATAATAAATTTGTCGAGGAAAATGGGAAAAGAACTGATAAATATACACAACGTTAAAGTTTTTTTTTTTTTCCTAAAGTAAATTGTGAAGTTTCCTCATTTTTTTTTTAATTTGTTGCCCACTTGACTATTTAAAAGAAATAGTTGAAGATGGTTTAAAATTATAAACAAGGGATATGAAAAATTATTTAACTATTTACATATAATGAAAATCAGAAATTTATAATGGTTGTGAGGCCTAGGTAACCTAACCTATCCAGTAGTATGGTTGGTCTCCCCAGCCCATATGTTTAGTCGGTCCCCCCTCCACTTCTCGTGAATGAACCTTTGATTTCCGGATGTTCGGAAATCCGCAGCGCACCACCATCAGTACCTTACACGATTCACTACCTTACACGACAATTCGGAACGTCATTAGTGCAATTCCGATTGACCGTGTAGGGTCCCCTTAAAAATCCCAACAAAGCAAAGGCAAAAATAAATAACATACAATTTCCGTTTGAAATTATATATATACATTTATATATATATAATATTTTATATTTAATGTATATATATTTTTCCCAGGACCCATCTGAAAAAACGCTGGACATGTGTCCAATATTTTTCCAATATTATCACAAAAAAAAATTAGTTGAAATCTGTGACCCACAGACAGTATCCTCTCCTTGTTATTGTAACTATAAACGATAAATAAAAGGGTGCATGTCATTTTCATGCACTTACGGTGTATTTTATTAATAAATAAGGTCGAAATGAACAAAAACATATTTGAAAATTAACCTATATCAAAAATGCACATGATGACTTGTTGCAATAATAATTGCATAGATAATAATAACGAGTAGAAGATCGATCAAGTGCATTTAAAATACTAATTAATAAAACATTTATCAAAGATAAAAATATTTTTTTCATATAAACATTTGAAGGAGAGCTCCTTTTTTTTGAAGAACGTGCTTTTTGGTTCCTGCCTAATCTGTTTTCCTCACACGCGTGAGCGGATTCGGAAAGAGGGGTGAGAAGGTACCCATAACTTATAAACAACAGACGAATCATAAATTCGTAATAAATGTAATAAAATGAAAAAGTATGCTGAATATATGTTTAAGGGCAAAAAACAAAAACATTTTAATAAATATAATGCTACCATTTTTCTTCAAAATTTTCAAATAACTCACAATTCCACACGCTAAACAAAGGGGATATAGATTGAGAAAATTAATATGATATTGTCTATTCATTTATAATGTAATTGAAGTTTTAATTTCATAAACTTAATACTATATCTCTTATAAACCTCTTATTAATTTTATTATTTTATTCAGTAAAACTATTTCTATTCAAATTTAAGTTATTTTTTATGATAAGTACGTTAGTAATTTTTCAGTAACTACATTGATCGTTACCAAATGTCATATTGTAAAATAATTGTTGATATGTTATTGAAACTATTTTATTTACTGGTGGTACGGGGTTAGAATGCCTGTGTCCTAACCTTTAACAAGATGATTACGTGAATTTCTTTACTGATATTTAACCATAATCCTTATATTTATAAGTGGTTATCGATAAATTATTTAAACAAAATAATCCTCATTTTTCGTTTATCAGCAATAGTTATTCTATTTAAGACTTCAAGTATATAAATTCTGGAGGTAGAGATTTAAACAAGTAAAATAACTTTGTTTACTAATAATTACACGGAATAGTTTAAACCACCTGGCTCACAACATTCTTAAAACAATCATTCACATATCGACAGAATTCGATAGAATATCGATAATTACATATCGATAGAATAGAATAGTTGGATAGAAGGTCATTCGATAGTGATAATTTTCAATATTTTTTAGGAGCCTAAACTTCGATATTACCTTTTCTGTACCACTGCACAAGTGTCACATCAATTTGACCAATGGGCCATAATCACGCTATAAACGGGATACGGAGAGTAACGGAAGATTGGCTTGGCCTTTGTATAACCTCCCTCTTTAGAACACGATTCACATCAGTAAAGCCATAACTGATCCTTTAGAGTTATGCATCGGCTGTATGTGCATCGTATAATTAGCTTTAATTCCATCGCTACTTTCGATTTCCAATCGCTACACTCAGTCTAATTGGATAAACCAACTCACAAACGGTTCCTTATCAGTTAAGATCGGGATTTCACAAGACGATTTGGTCATTGCCACCTATCATAGTGGAGTGACATTTGTAGATTAGTACCAACAACCACAATGTTTCCAGGGTCAATTCCAATATTTTGGTTTGAACAAAAATAGTACTTTTTTCAACATTCAACATACAAAATTGAAACAGAAACGGTTAATGAGTAAACAATTAATTCATCCATAAATCAAACAAAACATTAGAAAATGATTCTTATATTTATAAAAAATATAAACAATCGCTTAGGTCGAGTAATTAATTAAAACAATTTAATCTCCCTAATTGTAGTTCCTCACAAAAATCGGCATTTCATAGGTTCATTTCAAAAAGTAAATAAGTGCATTTTATATCGATCTAAACCTTTAATCAAATTTTTATGAGCTTCTACTCTACAAAAATATGTTAGTTAGTTAAGTCTATCAAAATGAGACAAACTCATATATCAAAGATGTATAAAGCTATCACCAAGTTCACGATGCTCTGATTCTACAGAGACGATATTTAAAAATTACATATCATGAAATTTATAATCTACAAATTAAACTTGAATGCAGAAAAATCCAAATTTAAATTAATTTATGCTGTTTTATCAGAACACATTAATCTATTAATAAATGTCACGACGCTGATTTGAGTTGATGAACTGAACACACGCTGCTGAGCAGCAGACAAATAACTGAAAAACAATACCCCAAGACAAGCAATGATGAAGAAAGCTCATTAAAGAGACAAAAAGTCTATAATATGAGCCTTTCAGTTGACAGAATGACTCACTCAAATCTCAGCATTTTTTATTATTAATTTCAGTGATATTTCTAGAGGATAATTTATACCTTTATTCACAGTTCTATATTTCAAGACTGCAATCACCTACTCCTGAATCAACCTACTCATTGTCTGTATAGATAACTTTTTCACCTAGAATATCACTAAAATGACTTTTCTTAAAAATATTGAAATTGGAGTTAGTCCTACCGTCAACTGAAAGACTCTTATATAACCAAGGGAAACAAAAAAAAAAAACAACAAAAAAACTGATAGTTTATTATATCATTATGCTTTGCACTAAATGGTTTCTGAAATGCTCCAATATAATTGAGACTGATTAGAAGGGTACTTTTCTATAATTGAAGAATAATATATACAGTCTACCTATTATCCAAAAAGAACTTATTTAAATTTTGAAATAACAGCAGTCACCTAATACACATCACATCGATTTAGTATCTACGCAGAGCATATCTTTAATATTTTATTAGCAATCTAAGGATTGAGAAGTGAAACATCTTAAAATAAGGGTTTATGGTAAATAAGAAGTGCCATCTTGTAGCTTTCAATTATTAGAACTCCATATGCAATCATATCCTCAGGTGGAGAACCACTTTCAAACCAATAAACCTAGCGATAAAGTTTCGAGGGTGAGGAGAGAACCTATCTTTTACAACCATCCAATTTTTTTTTCTAACCTAAGTTCTGTGTTGTAAAGTGGTTTCCCCCCTCACATATTATGTATTATAAACACTTTATAAATAATTATTAGTTTATTTTCAATAATCAAGAGTTAGAATTTAATACTTATAAACTCACCCTTCCAGCAACCCCTCTTCGACTTTCCAGCCATGGGTTTACTTGAAGGTTTTTCAGGAAGTAGTTCTTTTTCATCATTATCGCATTATCTTCCCCTGGTGTTCATTAATGGTAAATACACTAGAATTTTGATTTTTTTTTTGGATTTCTAATTAGTGTAGGGTGGCTATAAATCTGTGTACTGAAAAAGTTGTGTTTTGTTTCATCTTAAGATTTAGAATTGTATCACATGATTTCAATTTTGTTATCCATAATTTTTATCCTAATCGTGATAATGTTACTATAGTATTTTAATAATTATTGTTTATTTGTGAGTATCACTCAAAGTGAATCAAAAGTTTTAATTTTTAAAATTTTATTTTTATCAAAATATATGATTATGATTCATTTTCATTAATTTGAAAAATCAAAAGCTTTTTTATTTATTTCTTATTATGAATTTTTATTATGAATTATTTTAATTTACTTCACATAATTTAAGTGATCGTGATGATTGAGCGTTTTAGGAGGCCATGGAGGAACCTATATGGTTCAGATAACTTGGTTGATCGTTCATCTCAAAAGAAAGAATTACAATTTGAACAACATTTATGCCAAACATTAGTTGTTGGGAAGTTTCATTGCGAGAGGTTTTAGTCTGCACAAGTTAGTCCAAGCGAGCTCATAGTATTTTGTTTTTAATATTTATTTGTTGTATTGAGTCGATATGAGCGTGGAATCACTGCCTTTTTGATTACATTAGATTGTTGAGTTAGGTTATAACACAATGATAAGACTTTGGTGTAACTCACTTGGATTTTACAAAATTTCCACTTTCCAATTTAAATAATGGATAGTAAGACCCATGAGCAGTAATTATATGAAGTAAGATTATTGATTGTTCAAAGTTACTCTTCTATCACTATTACTATTGTCTTTAGATGTGACATATTGTGATATTTTTCAAAAAAGAATTTCAAAGAAAAAAATCTGGTACGAACAACACACTACTTACACTTGCCGCTCTACCTTGAATAAAAATTATTTTCTGCCATTGTTGAGCTATTATAAAATTTTTGAAGTGCTTTTTAAACAGAGCTAAAGCTTGAAGCTTACATATAATAAATCATTAAGACCATTAAAATTATAAAATGTCTATTTAATATATCGACGGTAGGCAAGTTAGTCACTCCATCTGCTTTTATAAACCACACAACTTTCTTTGCTTTTATAAACCACAGAGTGACTAACTACAATTTCAAAAATTTTTAGTAATGTGAGCATGTGAGAACCCCGCAAAGTCATACATCAAAACCTTTCCTAAACTTAGCAGCTTTCCGAACTAAGAACATACTGCAGTTCCTAACGTATTCTGAGCAAAATCCAGCCTACACATTTCCCTTATGAGCTCCATTATACAAATACGAATACGTGAGCTAGGAATCCACCCTTCATTTCCCCAATCCGTCTGTGACCTGAATATTTTAACTCCTAAATATGTTTTCAGCTTCAACCAGAATAAACATGACTATAATACTGCTATTACATATCACATAATACATTCTGATTAGCATGATGTAGTAATTTGATCAATATAGAATATATAAATCTTCTCTTTGGCTGATTAATAAAAAAATTTAATATATATATAGAATAGAATAGAAAATAAAACTTTATTCTGGGACTAAGTTCCCTTAGAATAACAAAGATGAATTAATAGAAAATGAAATACAAATCTGGCCAAAAACTAACTTACAAAAATTCTAACATTATAAACATTATTTAAAAACATGTATGTAAACACTAAGAAATAAACAAAAAAAGATATATATATATATATATATATATATATATATATATATATATATATATATATATATATATATATATATATACATATATATATATAAATGAACATACAATCTTCTCAAAATTACTTATTATTATGATGAAAAAAAAAAAAAAAGAAAAGAAATTACATATCTATATATACATAACTGCACAATTTATAAACAATAGGCTATCTAATAGAAAAATAATTTAATACAAAATGTAATAATATTTACAGTGATTCATACAATAATAAGCAAACACTAAGATAAAATAAAATCTCAGGATTAATTGTGGTATAAAGGTAAAAAAAAAGGAACTATATATACGCACTTACTCATATTGGTACACAGAGAGACAAAAAGTATAAAATATAAACATATATACACGAAAGAAAAAGCACAACCTGAGGTGAAGAGAAATACAAATAAATAGTAAAAATAATAGTCAAAGATCATTGCTGTTTTATGTTAAAACTTAAACAGTAGGCATCACCATTTACTTCTCACAAATTCAGTTCATAAAATGAAATTTATGGTTGCGAATCGTCTGTTTGGGATGTAAGGAGATATTGGAAAAGGAGGTATTTGAAGGTTGACAGTGAAGAGGCATGACGGATGTTATGTGGCAAAGAATTCCAGTAGGTGACGGAGCGGGCTAAGAAGGAACGTTCATAGGTTTTTGTCTTGTGGAATGGAATATAGAGGTCAGAAACACAGGATCTCGTTTTTATTGAGTGGACTAAAGGTTTAGGCTGGATGAGACAGTAGATATAGGAAGGGTGCTGGGAGTTGATCGTTTGATATAAGAAATTTCAGAAATTTGACTCGGCATATATATAGCATTTCCAAGTCAATTTCAACCTTTTCCAAGTCAAATTCAACCTTTTCCAAATCAAATTAAACTTTTTCCAAGTCAAATTCAACCTTTTCCATTTCAAATTAAACCTTTTCCATTTCAAATTAAACCTTTTCCATTTCAAATTAAACCTTTTCCATTTCAAATTAAACCTTTTCCATTTCAAATTAAACCTTGTTTTATTTATTTAATTATCTTTAATTTTTCGATGTGTGGGTCTGTTATCGTACGACTAGTTTTTGAAAATAACCTCCTTTTTAAGATTATGTGACTGAGTTTCGAATTATAGCATTTCCAAGTCGATTTCAACCTTTTCCAAATCAAATTCAACCTTTTCCAAGTCAAATTAAACCTTTTCCATTTCAAATTCAACCTTTTCCAAGTCAAATTCAACCTTTTCCATTTCAAATTCAACTTTAGAATTTTTGTCAATTTTCGATTTTTTTCGAAATGAAGGCCACTTACTATATTATCGACGGCATAGCTTTTAAAAAATACAAAAAAAAATTGATTAAGCAGTTGCATATCCATTTATTTTAACATTTTAGATTTTTTCAGTGTGATATTTCTATGTGATATTCAATTATTTCCAAGTCAAATTCAACCTTTTCCAAGTCAAATTCAACCTTTTCCAAATCAAATTAAACTTTTTCCAAGTCAATTCAACCATTTCCATTTCAAATTAAACCTTTTCCAATTCAAATTCAACCGTTTTCATTTCAAATTAATGTTTTAAGTTTTTGTAAATTTTATATTTTTTTTTTAAATAATGGCCATCCCCTCCCTCCCTCCAATATGAAAGTCTATTATTATGCTCTCCTAAGTAGAATTTTCACTTACGGATATCGATTTATTGTACCTATTCGGATTTCTTAGGGACTAGTATTATGCTGTCCTGTACCTAGTTTTGAAAATAACCTCCATTTTAAGATTACGTGACTGCGTTTCGAATCATTAAAGTTTTTTTGACAAATTCGATATGTGGGTGTATTTTTATGTTTCCCGATCAGTAAATTTTGAAAATGACATCCATTTTATGTTATATATAAAGGTCTACTTTTATGTTTCCGGAGCCGTAGATTTTGAAAACGACCTTCATTTTAAGGTTAGGCCACCGCGTTTCGACTTATTTGAGTTTTTCGGATATTTTTCATATGAGGGTGTATTTTTATGTTTCCGGAGCTGTAGATTTTGAAAATGACCTCCATTTTAAGATTAGGCCACCGCGTTTCGACTTATTTGAGTTTTTCGGATTTTTTTCATATGAGGATGTATTCTTATGTTTCCGGAGCCGTAGATTTTGAAAACGACCTCCATTTTAAGATTAGGCCACCGCATTTCGATTTCTTTGAGTTTTTCGGATTTTTTTCATATGAGGTGTATTCTTATGTTTCCGGAGCCGTAGATTTTGAAAACGACCTCCATTTTAAGATTAGGCCACCGCGTTTCGACTTATTTGAGTTTTTCGGATTTTTTTCATATGAGGGTGTATTTTTATTTATCCAGAGCTGTAGATTTTGAAAATGACCTCCATTTTAAGATTAGGCCACCGTGTTTCGACTTATTTGAGTTTTTCGGATATTTTTCATATGAGGGTGTATTCTTATGTTTCCGGAGTCGTAGATTTTGAAAATGACCTCCATTTTAAGATTACGCCACTGCGTTTCGGCTTATTCAAGTTTTTCGAATTTATCCAATTTAAAGGTCTACTTTTATGATGCCGGAGCCTTAGTTTTTAAAACGACTTACATTTTAAGATTAGGCCACTGTGTTTCGGTTTTGTTAAGTGTTTTTGATTTTTCCTTCGAATAAAAAACATAATACGAAGGATTAATTTATTTTTCAATAAATAAATAAAAATATCTAATCAAAATAAATAAAATATGTATTGTCTCATTTTTAATTTAATTTTAGTTATCTTTTTTAATGTTGTGGTCTCCTATCACAAAATTATAAGATTTCGAACAATTAGCTGAAAAATCTGAATACGGAAGGTTAAATTTATTACCAGTTGCTTTTCGGCTTTTTAGTTTGTATTCTGTGGTTAATTTTACTTTAGCTTCATAATATTTATTTATTTATTCATACTCGAAAACATATTGATGAAACTTTGTATTGAAAAAATCCAAAATGAAGCCTAATTAATCAAGATGCAGCGGCTTAATCATAAAATGGAGCTTAAATATTAGATAAATTTAAATATTAAAGATTAGAAAAATTTCAATACGTCTCGGATAACATATAAGTAGATCCTTATACCGAAAAAGTAAAAAAAAAACTTTTATAATCCAAAACAGTGGCATAAACTTTAAATTGGGTCATTTACAAAATGGGGGAAATCTACTGCTCCAGAAACATAAAATTAGACCTTTATACTTGTTAAATTCTAAAAATTTAAATAAGTTGAAACGCAGTTGCGTAATCATAAAATAGAGGTCATTTTCAGAATCTACGGTTCCGAAAACATAAAAGTAGACCTTTAAATTGGATAAATTCGAAAAACTTAAATAAGTCAAAATGCAATGGCGTCATCATTAAATGGATGTCATTTTCAAAATCTACGGCTCAAGAAACATAAAAGTAGACCTTAATATTGGATAAATTCGAAAAACTTAAATAAGTCAAAACGCAGTGGCGTAATCATAAAATGGAGGTCATTTTCAAAATCTACAGCTCCGGAAACATAAAAATACACCCTCATATGAAAAATATCCGAAAAACTCAAATAAGTCGAAACGCGGTGGCCTAATCTTAAAATGGAGGTCATTTTCAAAATCTACAGCTCTGGATAAATAAAAATACACCCTCATATGAAAAATATCCGAAAAACTCAAATAAGTCGAAACGCGGTGGCCTAATCTTAAAATGGAGGTCATTTTCAAAATCTACGGCTTCGGAAACAAAAAAGTAGACCTTTATATTGGATAAATTCTAAAAACTTAAATAAATCAAAACACAGTGGCGTAAACATAAAATAGATGTCATTTTAAAAATTTACTGATCGGGAAACATAAAAATACACCCTTATATCGAATAAGTCAAAAAAACGTAAATCATTCGAAACGCAGTCACGTAATCTTAAAAAGGAGGTTATTTAAAAAAAACTACTCATACGATAACAGACCCACGCATCGAAAAATTAAAGATAATTAAATAAATAAAAAAAAAGGTTGAATTTGAAATGGAAAAGGTTTAATTTGAAATGGAAAAGGTTGAATTTGACTTGGAAAAAGTTTAATTTGATTTGGAAAAGGTTGAATTTGACTTGGAAAAGGTTGAAATTGACTTGGAAATGCTATATTTAAGTTTTTTTGAATT